TTTTATGCATATTATATGTCCATTTATTATAGTTCTGTGTTTAATTTGGAGTCGTGGTGTGGCGCTGTGGATTAATGAGCTGGACTGCAAAGTTGGTTTGAACCACAAGGTTGGCGGTTCAAGCTCACCAGCTGTGTCTTTGAAACCCTTTACAGGATTGCTATGAGTAGGAACCTACTTGACAGCATTTAGCAACAACAACAACGTTTAAGTAAGTGTAAAGATTAAAGTAATCAACAGCTTTCTTTTTCCCTTTGTAACTGGTTCTACATGAATACAGTTTAGGTGATGATACATTTTAGAGGATAGATTTAAATAAGCAAACAAGAATTGAAAAGTATTATCTTAGTTATTTAATGCTGCTATAACTCGAAGGCACTTAGCAACAACAATAACAGAAATACCACAAGTGTATGCTTTGAGCAAACAAAGCTATTCTGTCACGGTTTAGGTGGCTGGAAGTCCTTGTCATCTTTGAGTATTTGTAGACCCAACATGCCTTGAGGATCTTCATGTGTCTTAGCATCAGTTTTCATCTGGATCTTTGAGTTTCACTGTGCAGGGACCTCAGGTCCAAAGGACACACGCCTTCTTGTTAGGAATCGGTCCTCTTTCTTGGCTTACTTCTCTCTCATTTTATCTCTTGTAAGATAAATGATGTTGCCACACCTCTGGGAAACTCCTTTATATCAGATCCGAGTTGTGATGAGATTGAGGGTGGTGATGTTGTGTCGTAATGAGTTGGTTTCAACTCATAGAGACCTTATATGGGGGTTCAGAGGCTGTAAATCTGTACAGGAGCAGAAAGCCTCATCTTTCTCCCAAGGAGCAGATGGTGAATTCAAATGGCTGGCCCTGCATTAGCAGCCTACTTCCCTGCCAGGGTTCCAAGAGTGGTGTATCCCACCCTTAATCCTTTTGGTGGCTTATCACATCCAGTCACATCAAGGGGGATCATTACAATAAATCACTTTGAGTCATGGCCCAACCAAGCTGACATGTTTGGGGCTATACAATTATATCCATAACAAATATGTATAGCCTTGGAGTACTTTTGATTTTAAGATTTGTTAAAAGGAAACAATGCTGGAGAAAAAGTGTTAGTTATTCTGACTTTTTACCCTATCTTAAAACTTAGCTACCTTTTAGATCAATTTGGAATTTGTAGACTTCTTGTCCTTTCCAAACATACTATTTTAGTGGATTATAGATTTAAAGATCTGTGGAGTTGTTTGAGCCGCTCAGGCTGGGAACCCTGGTTTCCTCAGTGTTGTCTGCCTGGAGGGAAATGAGTCAAAGCCAAATTGGCCACCTGTTTAAGAGAGTGGATTCTGGAGCCAGAAGCCTCACCAAGTCCTGCCTGCACTGCTCTAACTGAGTGGCTTTGGCAAAGTTGCTTGACCTTTCAGGAATTTGGTTCTTCAGCATTAGAATAAATGAGTTATTCATGATCCATTACTGTTGTTAGTTACCAGTCAACTCTGATGCTTGGTGACCTTATGTTCTTTTGTTATTATTGTTAGGTGTTATCGAGCCAATTATAGCACATGAGGACCCTATGTGTTACAGAGTAGAGCTGTTCCAAAGGGTTTTCTTGGCTATAATCTGAAGGCTGTATATGAAGAACATGGTGGTATTAGGATTGGAGGAAGAGTCGTTAACAACCTGTGATATGCAGATGACACAATCTTGCTTGCTGAAAGTGAAGAGGACTTATTGATGAAGACTGAAATCTATAGCCTACAGTATGGATTGTTGTTGTTGTTAAATGTGGTCTAGTTGGTTCTGACTCATAGCAACCCTGTATAGTGTTTCTGAGGAGCAGCTGGTGAGTTTGAACCACTGACCCTGCATTTCAAACAGACCTTGCAGTCAATTGCTTTATCCCACAGTGCCACACCAGAACTCCATAGTATGGATTATATCTCAATTTAAAGAAAACAAAAATCCTCACAAATGGACCAATAAACAACATTATGATAAATGCAGAAAATATTGAAGTTATCAAGAATATCATTTAACTTGGATCCACACTCAATACCAATAGTAGCAGAAGTCAAGAAATCCAAAGATGTATTGCACTGGATAAATCTGAGTACTAAGGTAGTGCTTAAAAACAGCAAGATACACCTGACCCATACCATTGTATTTTCAGTCGCTTCATATGCATGCAAAAACTGGACAAAGAATAGGAAGAGCCAATTTTTTTTCTTTCAGGGTTTTGTATATGTCATCCCATCGCCTTCTTGCCTGCATGGTTTCTGCTGAGAAATCAGAGCTTAGTCTTATTGGTTCTGATCATCGATAAGTTGCTCCTCTTCAGGATGTCCCACATACCTCTTAGGCTTCCTTTGGATT